AAATCTTAATCAATATTAGACCCAGTACAACTCTTACAGAGTCTCCTTTGTCATCATATCAAAATAGCAGAAAGGATTCCGATGTAACTGCTCAACTGCACCCTTGCTCATCTCCATCAAAAAATTGATTTTCTGCCACCTTGTATGGCGCACGTTAACGCACGTGTAAATCTTATGAACAATACAAATTTAAACCCAACGGTTACGGAACAACGATATGTTTCAAGTGGATGAACTTTAAAGTGTTTAATATCACAAAGAAAATTAGTATATATTATCAATAATTTATTAATTTAAATAAAAAATTTTGATTTTTTTAATAAAATTTTAAATTTAGATATTGTAACTAAAAAAATAAATGATGAAATTTTTTTTTTAATGAGATTCAACGTGTTTCGATTTTAAATTAATCAAATTTAATATAATTACAAAATATTAAGAAATCAATTTAAAAAACCTAGTACATGTTTAGTTGATCTTTTAAAAATATTTTTTCTATTATAAAAATTAAGGCTCGACTAAATATAAAATTTTTTAAAGGTGCTTCTAAAAAAAATTAGAAGTTGGTTTAATTTTTAGATACATTTGTCAATTGTTAAATCATTTAAAATAATTTTATATGAATTTTCATTCTAAACTTAACATTTGGCCTAATGCAATGAAAAAAAAAAGGTCAAAATCTCATTATATATATAAAAATAAATAAATATATAAAAAGACGAAGTCAAACATCAGTTTACATCCATTCATCCGCTAAAAGAAAATGCTGGGTTCCATTTCATGGGCTTTGCCCCCAACAAAAAGAGAAAAGTAATTGGGCCTCACATTGCGTCAAATATATTTAGGCTTGAGCATACGGCATGAGGAGTTGAGGACAATCGTTATTTGTAATATTTTATTTGTTTAGATAAATATTATAGGTATATTATAAACAAAATTGGGTAAGTTTTCGGGGCAAGTAATAAATATAAAAATAAAATATTTATAAGCATTAATTCAAGTAACAAACATGAGAGTTTAGAAAAATTTATCCAACCAATCGATATGTCTAATTGATATATGTAATCGAGTTATAAGGATTATATATAATCTTTATCTTTAAGTAGTTCATATAATTCAAACTTTAAAAATAAAAATATTTGTATCATATTTAACATTTTTTAAAAATTTAAAAGATAACTATGTTTTATTTTAACTCGTTTCTGAATAAACTCTTAAATAAATACTAAAGTTAAAAACTTATATCTAAAAATTTTTAAATCAAATATTAAATATAATGCATTACTAACCTATACAAAAATAATGCTTACCCCTAAATATAATATATTCATACACTGCAATAATAGTTAATAATCCATAGAAGAGCGAGTAGAGTAAATGGTTACTCCTTATATCGGATTTCTTACTAAACTTGATTTTGAGTGCTCTCCTTTTCTAAACACCCTCAACATGTATCCCTGTTTTATAAAAAGAAAAATAAAAATCCGGGGTGGAGAAAGTGGAGCACCAGTGGCCCATCCACTCCAGCTTGAATAGCTGCCCTGGTCTACCTAGTGCTCATTCCCGCCATTTTTTTGGGAGGTCCACTGCCAGACGTTTGTTTGCTTAAACCTTAAAATCTTCATTTGAAAAATTAAATTATGTTACCAGCCTTAATTTTGCCACGCTTTGGAAAATGGAAATAACATGACGGTATTGGAAAGAATAATGTCTTGACTCGTGAAATTCACAAAATTGAGTAGGAAAAAAAAAGAGAAAAATGGATAAAAAAAATTATAATAATATTAAAGACACCCGATTGAGCGTATATTTTATTTTAAGTTTTAAAAAATCAAAAAATAAAGATGTCTAATTTAATATTTTAGAGAAAGTAATATTAAAGGCACCCTTAATCTTATTGTAGGACAAAAAAAAAAAAAAAAAATTATCATTTTCAAACCCAAACACCTCCCAGCCACCCACCCAAAAAACATGAAAATTCCACAATTATTAATTGAACACTGAATAGCACCCAACAGAACTGCAGAATTATTCATGTTGCTAGACCAATTGGTTCACTTTGCCCTAATTTGAGGTTTTAGTCCATTAATTACGCTGTGATAATCCCAATAATCAAAGGGGAAACAATGTAGTGATGACAATTCTGAATTTGGATGAGAACATGAACGATGCCAAACAAGAGATAATATCACAATCATTCAATTGCATAGTTTCATATGTATAAAACTATTCTCACCGATGAATTGAGCAGCTCTGGCTGTTTAATCAATCTATCATTAACTTCCAATAGAGAACCTTTAACACAACACCTGTGCAAAGCAACTTAAAAGCTGTGGCTTCAAGTTCAATATGAAGAAAGTAATGCCCACCAAAGAAGCAGACCTCACAATGTAAGAAGCATCACCGGTGCAAACTTTACACAAAGCCGTGTTGGACTCAAAATGTTGCGCATTCTGCAAAAAAAAGCATATCTGACTTTAAACAAACACACCAATTTTATAAAGGAAACGAATGGGTTGTAAATTAAGATTATATAAGAGAAGAGCAAACATATACCGCTCTTAAGATTTTAATTTCTCATTTGAAATTATTGAAACTTGCATGACATGAGACAAGTATCATATTCTAAACAGAATCAATAACTTTATATTTCATTCTTTGCAGTTCAACAACAGGAAAACTAGTGAATTTAAACTTGAGAGATATCAAACTACTTAGCAAAAAATAACAAGAATGTACATCTCGATTCCAAACATTTTTAGTAGCCAGAGTCTACTTAAAAAAAGAAAAAAGAATAAAAAAAAAAAAGAA